TTTTAAAGCCTCTAATTTCACCTAGATGATTTAGCGTCCCTGTATTTTATTTTAGACAGGAAAATTGCTTTTGCTTTCTTACTGATGTAGTGTTCAGACTTGACATAACAGGAGGTTGTCTAACCTTTTCAGGATATAATATAGATCCCTGTGTAGACTGTAATTGAGTTGGATTTATATAAATACACCTGTGCACAAACCCAGGTCAGGATAATTATTAAAAACATATGTATAAAATCCCATAAAATATAAAAAAATGGACATAAAACATTTTTATCTGGACCTGGATTAAGTTCAACATTTCCAATGACTAAAAGAATATTAAACAGAAGTCTTAAATGTTGTTTCCGAAATTCCGACTGGTTAAAACAGAGTCTGAAATCAGAAGTTTCAGAAAGACGACAGCGAGACAGTTTCAACAAGATACCAAAAGCCTTTATATCGTTGTTTTCAGCTGTGTTTGGAGTTCGTCTTTCACAGAATTAATTATTTTTTGCTGCGACTTCCACACTTATCACTGAATTTATCRCGCGATCTCYTTCCTGCACGTCTGTCGGACCAGAGTGGAGCGGAGCGGGGGTAGTGTAAACTGGACTTGAAACACACAGCTGCGACCTGCGCACCGCAGCAGAGCGGAGCCGTAATGCATGTAACGTAAATTAGGGGTAAAACTTTTGGTCTTTGTGTCGGTCCTCCATGACAGCTGATGATGGTGACCTGTGTTACCTGAATATTCATATTTGTTGTGCTGATGCAYCAACGGTAGAGGTTTTTAAAATCTTGTATAGGTGAGGGCTGGTCCCACTCAGGAACACRGACATACATTTGATCTGCTTTTCTCTTCCTGTTTTGAACTTGCAGGTTTGTGATGCAGTGTTTTCAGATCATATGGCTGTTTTATTTGATGTCACCCTCACCTGTACCACAGTTCAACCTGGTGCTGGTCAGCTCTGCCATGTTTAGAACTCCTCCACTGCTGGTTACTTTTCAGATGTTTCTAATCCCAGTGTTATCCCAGAGTACATGTACAAGTATATGTACAATATGTTCGTATGATACTATAATCACACAACAAGTAAGGATTTATGACAATAAGCATAACATACAACATGTGAGCAGAAAAAGACAATTTGGTTAAATNTGTTCGTATGATACTATAATCACACAACAAGTAAGGATTTATGACAATAAGCATAACATACAACATGTGAGCAGAAAAAGACAATTTGGTTAAATCATTGCACTGTTGCATGAAATAATCCCATCTGTGTATGCTGAAGATACCAAGTAAAATATGAGCGAGATGAGAGGAACTCTCCATTTCATGTGAACGTGCTCTGAATCTAAAGCAGAAAGTTTGAGTTAAAAGTAACAGAACCCTCCATYACAGTAACCATTACCTCTTATCAGAATTTCAGGTTTTATTGAACTTGCTTCATAGTATAGCCCTGAGCGGATGAAGATTTGAGGTCCACTACATGCTAAATTATGTTAATTAGAGCCAACGATCATCGTGTTGATGTCAAATCACACAGACAACAGGGGGCTGAGCAACTTATTAAACTGTGAAAACAAACCATGTATTATTCCTGTTCATTAATAAAAATGACTGCGAGGAGGAGGGCAGACAACGAAAGATCTGATGTTTTCACAAATAATAACATTTACCACCAAAATCAACGTTTAGAAGCAAACCTCTCGAGTTTTGTTGTTACACAAGTGACTGAAACTACACAAGGAAATTACGTGTCGACCCAAATCATCAGATCAAACAGAGGAGACGTATCTACAAGACAGGAGAAGATGTCTGTGTGTGAGAAATAAGCTAACCAAAATCAAAGCTTCAATGTTTAGTTGAATTATTATCAAACACAATTATGTGAGTTAAGCCCAGGGAAGATGTGGGTCCTACCCTGGTCTCCAGCTCTGAGGGGAACTTGGTTTGGAACTGGCACAAGGTTCCGTTGGTGTAATCTCTCTGAATGAAGACTTTGGCTGCGATGGACGCCTGCTGCCTCATGTCCTGCAGGCTGTGAGTCTGTTGAAACACAASATCATAACTCAAGTGATGAAACAAGAAGAGTATCCTAGAAAACATTACTCCATAAAGGTTTTACTTGAAAACTGTTTCTGTACAGTGCCTTGCACAAGTATTCACCCGCTTTCCAAGTTGTTGCCTTCGTACCTGGAATTTCATTGAGTTTGTGGTTTTATTATAAGGAATGTTTCTCTACATAGTACTCAGATTAATTAAATTGGGAGAACACCTTGAAATAAATTAAAAAGCATTAGGAATGCACAGATAGGAAAATTTCAGCTGATATCGATATCTGATATTATTATTGCTGTTATGGCAGATAACTGATATATACTGATATTACACAAACACACACATTGGGCCTCATGCAAAAACCGTTCGTACGCACAGATTTGTTCTTAAATTGTGCGTACGAGTGATTTAGGAGAATTTGTGGCATTCACCAATGTTTTCGTATTCTACGATTTTTTTCAGATACGAACAAAATTTACTGAATAAATGAAAATGATTTAACACAGTTGTTTATAC